AAGTCCATTCTGTTCCTACCAAGGTCCCAGTCCTTTTCTCTTCTTTTTTTTTTGCCATGTTCTCTTATTGTAGATGTTATGGTTTCTGTTTAGGTGTCTCCCCAAAGCCTCACGTACTCACCAGAGTGGGCTTCTAGATTTTTGAGATTAATTCATGATTCAACACTGGGATTATGTGTTTGAGAGCTACACACACCCTGGGACAGGTAGCCTGAAGGCAATATAAGGAAAGGAAAGAGTCTTGTTCTTTGCCTGGGTTGCTACTGTGGTTGCCTCTGCTCTTGCCTTTTTGCTCTTGCTGTTTTGCTGTTTTCTGCCACAATCAACTGCTGCCCTGTGCCATGCACCACTCTGTCTTGGAGCCAGGTGAGTATGGACTGAAACCTCCACAAATTGTGGGCTAAATAAACCTTTCCTTCCTTAATTTTGGGTATCAGGTATTTTGTCCCAGCAATGAGAGAAAAGGAAACAGGTGGGGTGGGGATCCTGATCTCTTCCTCTTCTCAAAAGGATGATAATCCTGTCATGATTACATACTCCATTCTAAGACCTCATTTTAACCTAATTACCTCTCAGAGGCTCCGTGTCCTAATGTCATCCCATTGGGGCTTAGGGTTCAATGTATGAATTTTGAGAGGATACAACATTAAGTCCACAGTAAAAAGAGCAAATGACTGACTAATCATTTTTATGAAATTAGGTTCTGAGTTGGGTAGTCTGCTTGTATAAAACAAATTCTGCTATTGAAAAGAAATGCTAGTTAATAAAATGAAATTAAAGTTGACCATTTTAAAAAAATCTTTATTTATTTGGCACAGGGTCTCGCTACACAGTTTAGGCTTATAGTGATCCTCCTGTCTCAGTTTCCCCAGTACTGGGATTACAGGTGTGCACCACCATGCCTGGTTTCACTGGCCTGCGAAGCACCCCTGTAGTTCCAGGCCCAACAAGGCATGTGGTATGGGGGAATTGAACCCAAGTCCTTGCACTTTTCTGGCAGGCATTTAGACTATGGAGCTAGCTCCCCAGCCCTAGTTGGCCGTATTAAGAGAGAATTCTGCATGGTGTCCATGTTCTTGCATGTCATGCAAAGCAGAGGATTCTGCCTGTCCTTGTCTTTTTTTGTGTGTAGGAGACAGTCTTGGAAGATAGTGTCTCCACTGGAGCAAATACTAGACATTCTGACTGTCTATTAGTAAGGCTTAGGGTTTCCTAAATTCACTGCTCTTTTCCTATAATGCAACCTAATGTGCATGCGGATATTACCTGGCCATATGTACATCCCCCCATGGGAAATGTGGCTCTGGGAATTGGCACAAAAGTACTGATACTCTCTCAGCTGCTATTGCTGTTAGTAACAGAAACTATTCTTGACCCACAAGTTTGTTGTCTTCTACCAACATTCTTTAAACTGAGAGGCAGAGTAAAATCTCAGCCTCCTCAGGTACTCAAAAAGTTATGGAGAATGCTGTAGAGCACATATTTATTAATAGAAATTGGAATTTTTTTTTTTTTTATTCAGAGGCAGACATGTAAATACCTAGCTTTGTGAGGCTGCATACAAAGCCCACCTATTAACTAGGCAAGTGAGAATTTAAACATTGTAATTCTTCTCTCTCAACATATGGTGTCACTCCTTCACCAACTCCGGAGACTTAAACTTTGAAGAGTCATTGCACTTTGGTTTAGTTAGGCAGGGAAAACAGCTAATTACCTTTGTCCATGGAAAGACTTTAGAAGATATTTTCTTAGTTGTTGCTTATAACACTATGAGGGCTGTATTCCATCCATAGTGGCTGTTTAGTGCCGTCTGTGGCTAGTAGCCCCACTGAGCACCACACATAAACATAATTGCTATATGATAAAATGTCCATTCAAGTCACTATTTGAAGCTTCCTACCTAATAATTTAGCAATTGTACCAGTAAGAACAGAGTGTCAGAGGGCCAGCGAGATAGCTCAGCGGACTAAGTGCCTGTTTAGGCAAGCTCAGGGACGGGGGTTCAATCCCCAGTATTGCATGCTGTGCTGGCCCTACCCCCGGGTGTGCTGAGGTGGCCACCGAGACCAGGTGTGATGCTGCATGCCTGTAATCCTAGCACTGGGGAGGTTGAAAACAGGAGGATCACTGAGTCCAAGGTGCACAGGGAGACCCTGAACCAAATATACTAAAAAAAGAATTTCAGAGATTTAAAAGGGTATTATGATTAAAATCAGAATTGAGAAGTGAGAACTTGATACAAAGGGTACTAATCAAACTAATTTTAGAGCTGTCTTTGTTTTGTTTTGTTTTTTTTTGTGTTTTTTTTTTATTTTAGGGAAGGTCTACAAGGTATTCAGGATCTTGCTACTAGGTTGGACCCATAGTGATCTGCCTGTTTATAGCCTCCCAAGAGCTGGGATTACAGGCACGCCACCACACCCAGTCTCAATCGCTGTCTCAGCGTGCCCCAGGGGCAGGGCCGGCAGGGCAGGCCTAGGGATAGAACTCCCTAATCTGCTGAGCTATTTGGCTGGCCCTTAGAGCTGTCTTTGTACAAAAATGGAATCTTACATTTTATTAGTCTCCATATAGCACCTACTCTCAACTTAGTCTCTAATTACAGCTCTTATAAGTTATGTTTTTCTTGGTGGAAGTAGGTTATTGAGTTTTTTTTTGGGGGGGTGGAATAGGAAACAAATTTCGTATCTTATATTCCTATTTTCCCTTTAATACCAAATCTCACAAGTCTTCAGGTATGCAAGCTGTGTAAGAAAAGTAAAACATAATAATAATAATATAAAATAAAAATAGACTTTACATCTTATTTGTAAATTAAAAGAAGGAAAAGTGAGCTATCTGTGAAAGTGAGCTGGACCATTCTAAAGTAAAAGTCAAGTTTAGAGCTGGATATCAAGTACTAAATATCTCATTTTGGAAAGGAGCAGTTTTTGGACTTCTTTTTAAGAACAGGAGAGGATTCTACATGGCAAAAGCAGTTGTTGAAAGAATGTAAGGATCACAGGGCTTAAAGAAGAAATTAAGAATCTGTTGATGTCTTTAAAACATCAGGCTGAAGAGGAATGGGACAGGAGATTGAGTTACTGCTTAACATCTTTGCCTGAGATCTGCCAATACTAGCTGAGGATGTCACATAGAGAACTGTCACAGCCAGTGCTCTTTCCACTGATGCAGGAAAGAGTAAGCAAAAAAACCTTTTCTCAACCACCAAAAGTGGTTCAGTCATTTGGTATATTATTTGTGTTAACAGCTGATCTTAAATCTTTTAACTCCCCAGATTCTCTTAGATAGTCCTCTTATATTTCCTTTCATTCATTTTTTTAATACCTAAAAAAAATTAGTAGCAGGAATAAACACAGACTACTATTCATCTTAAAATAAGAAATATTCACCTTTCATTTAGACAAATTAATTAGAGTAGTAAATAGAACAGGGAGATGTGTGACGCCACGGAACTGCTACTTCCAAGTTATGTGACCTCAAGCAAATCGTATACATCTCTGAATCTAATTCACACTTGTCCATAAATGTAGTTAATAAATTTCAGTTGTTTTGGAGATTACATGATAGTTCACCAAATTAATAGCCACATATGTAATATACAATATATATATATGGACTATTATGGCTGAAGAATATGATGCATTAATTATGTGAGTGCTTTATTTTTTTTTAAAAAGACATGTAAGTTTTTATTAGAAGTACAGACAGGATGCATTCAAGAGTGGAGTACAAGTGCTGTGAAAATGAGGCGCCTTATATTTTTTAATGTTAAAAAATATTCATATATTTCAAGTATTTTCTCCCAATTTGTCTCTACTTAATTAACTTTGTCTATAGTACCTAATGTAAAACTCCATGTCTTTATTTTGATGCTACTTCATGAATATTTTCATATAGAATTTCTGGTATTGAAAAGTTGTAAGATAAACCACTCCCCATTCCCCAGTATTAAGATAATGCTCTTCTACTACCTGCTGTTAGCCTTTTCATTTGTTCTTTCCCTTGTAGATGTTTACTGCATCTGGAGCTCTTACTTTTTTTTTTTTTGAAGAACCAGGGATTGAATTCAGGCCCTTGCACTTGCCAGGCAAGCGCTTATTCTCCTGGCCTATCTCCCCAGCCCTAAAAGATTTGGTGGGGTTTTTTTTTCCCCCAGTACGGGGGATTGAACTCAGAAGCATGCACTTGCCAGGTAGGTGCTTATGCCATTGAGCTATTTCCCAAGCTGGAGCTCTTTCTTTTGATGTTGTATTTAATTTTCTCCAGATGTCAGACTGTTTGCTTTTTTCCACTTGCTGAAGCATATTTATTGTATATGAAGTTTCCAAGTAAAGTTTATGTTGCTAGCCCAAGTAGCAGTTTGAGTAGGATTCTAAAGCATGCAATTGAGCTACTTAAATGAATAAAATTTTCTATTTTATTAATATAGTTGACAAATATTTGAAAAGCCTATTCATACTAAAATCAGCTGAAGACCTATAAATGCAAATTAGCTGAGAATATGGTCATGTATGATCATATGGGGGAGGTTTTTGGGGCTAGGAGATCTTTTACTCCTCCAGCACTTGTGGGCTGGATTGTTCATGTCTTTGCTAATCATTTTTAACCTCATCAGTGAAAAATAGAAAAGACTTGTGGATGTAGGAAAAGGTTGCTGGAGAGAAGAAGGTCCATAATGCCTCAAGGGGCAATTTAGAAAGCAAGTGTTTTACACAAGAGAACCGACTTTCACCAGTGATTTTACTTGTTTAGCTTGGACAAGCCAGTTCATCTTTTTGGGAGTCAGTTTCGACATTTGTAGAGGTTAGACGTTTTGGAGAAACAACACAGCAAACCTGAAATCATCAGCTGTACTAAGCCCTCCCCAAACTGAGTCACAAAACCGTGACCTTTCGGCTCCCTCTCTGCGCATGCGCAGAAGCGGCGACCCGGCAGTCCCAGCGATCCCTTTCTGCGCACGCGCTTCTGTTAACCTCTATCCCCTTCCGGTCTGGGAGGCGGGAGTTCCGGTGCTCTAGAGGCCTTCGCGGAAGTGGCTGAGGATAAGTCGGCGTGTGAGTTGCTCGCAGTGTCGTACTTGCGCGCTTGCATCTGCCTTCGGATTGAAGATGCCAGGGCTGGCAGCCGCGAGCCCAGCCCCGTCCGAATCTCAGGAGAAGAAGCCTCTGAAGCCCTGCTGCGCCTGCCCGGAGACCAAGAAGGCGCGCGATGCGTGGTCAGTGCGCAGCCGGGGCGGGCGCGCCTCGAGCCCGCTGCCCTCCCTTCAGCTGCGGCGCCCGGGAGAGTGACAGCAGGGTCTCGCAGGTTTCACAGTCGGCACTTGGTGCTCCACTAGGCCCAGGGAAAGGTGAAGGGTTAAAGCGCGGACTGGCCCGAGACTCGCGTCACCCCGGCCCTGCGTATAAGTGACCTTTAGGGCTCTCGTGTGAAGCACTGCGTAGTAAGGCGTACAGATGTCGCCTGAGTTTGAGGAGTTTAAACTATATGGAGACATATGCCAGTAATTGCTGTACCGCAGGCTGTGATAATGTGACAAGACCAAAGAGTAAAATTTTACGGTAATTTCTAAGCAGTTCTTCCAAAATGTGGAGAAAGACACATGACACATTTCTTACAGTTCTGAAGGGTTCCTCTTTAATCCTTTGAAGGCAACTAAAAATTAAAAATCAGTCTACAGAATAGTGACAACGTTTAGATCACTGCTAATTCTCGAAAATCTTTGCCTTCCCTTATTTAGCCTTTTAGAATAGATCTCACTATAAGTTTTAAGATAACATGAATGTGCACCACCATCTGTTTGTACAAAGTAGAGCAATAATAGCTACAAAAAGTAGAGAAGTCATAACTTGTAATGAGGTAGGAGTATAGGAACTCGGTGCTTTCTTTAATACTGCGTTGCAAATAATCCTGTAAATGGAGGCTTGAACGATCTCAGTCTGATACCAAGGTTGCTCCTATGGTAACAAATGCTTCTGGAACTTTTGGATAGTATGGTATCTTGAGTAAGAGCTGGAGGTAGAATCAAGGTTTGAATCCCGTCCACCTCCTTGGTGACCTTGAGCAAATTATTTAACATGTCTAAAATGAGCGCAATAAATGTGTTTGCCTCCAGGGTTGTTAATTAGATTCAGTAATACAGAGCTTATCAGATCCCTAGCACAGTATATACAGCATTCATAAATATTCAGCGAGTGCTAGCAGTTATCTCCATAAAGGGCTGGGGCAGTCTCTCCCCTTTGCAGCAGCCCTTGAGGTATATTGAAGGATAGCAAGAGTTTTAGTGGAAGGAGATGTTCCTTCTTTAAATTACTTTTCCATGTATCACCTCAGACCACTATGGTTCATTAAATATCTGCAGTGAGAAGCTAGTTTTTTCTTGCAGTTCAGTTTGTCTCGATTATCTGCTGCATTTCCAAGCCCTTAAAATAAAGTTATGTAGGCTTAGTCTTCATTCTTGGGTTTTAAGAATGAAAAATTCTTTAATTATCAAAAAGGGGATTCATCTTGCTGTTCCTGGCTACCAGATCTTTTGTGATGTTTATGTTGTAGATTTCTCATAGCTAGAAGTAGGTTTATTTAGGTGTGTTTGAATGTAGGGCAGAAACAGGAAGTTAATTCTTCTATGAAAATGGACCTCCAGTTGCTCTTCATTTAACACAAATGTTTTATGTAGTTTCTTTCGTTGTAGAGCTGTGTTCTTCCTTGCATATAAACTAATAGCAGGATTTCATGTCTGTACTTATTTCTTTTGATCAGATTTCCTACCAAATCGAGTTGTATGAGACTTCTTTGCAGGCATGACACTATCACAAGATTAAATCAAAACAAAGCTGTTTGGTATAATAGCAGTTTTAAATCCAGTTATATTTCCTCCATCTCCATCGCTGCCATGTATGGTTATTAATGTGCTTCATTCCTACCTCATTAGATAATAAGTATTTTTTGTTTCATAGCATCATTGAGAAAGGAGAAGAACATTGTGGACACCTAATTGAGGCCCACAAGGAATGCATGCGAGCCCTGGGATTTAAGATATAAACTGGTGAGCATGTTGCTACAGATTTGTATGTTATCTTACATAGTTAGTGGCCATTGTAAGACAGTTCACCTGATTCATCTAACGTGTATAAGTATTACTTAAAAAATAACTTCCGTTCCCAGTGTGAGGAATAAGTGATGCTAATAGATAGAGAGACATTCAGCAGAGCTGAAAACAGGAATATGCAACTTCAAGAAAGCTTTTCACAGAAACCTTTGAGTTATATTCAAAGCAGATAGACTCATGACTGTAGGAAGTTCAAAATATTCTGCTTTCCAAGTTAAAGGAAGTAAATGACAAATGTTCTGTTTCTTGTTTCTTATATGGGTTTTTAGTAAATGGAACTATTGTTTTATACAAGTGAAAGTGGAATTTTGTCCTTTTATAAAACTAAAACCTCAGGGCTGGGGAGATAGCTCAGTGATCTAAGCACCAGCCTGGGAAGCACAAGGACCCGGCTTTAATCCCTGGTACCACATGCTGTGCCAGCCCTGAAACTGGGCATGGTCGCATGCCCCTGTAATTGTAGTGCTGGGGTGGCAGAGATAGGATCACTACAAGTCTGAGCTCTGTAGTGAGACCCTGTATCCAAAAACAAAACCCGTAAAACCTCAGACCATTTTTTGACAAGCTGTGAAATTCAATTTTAATGCTAAAAGGGACTTCCAGGATGTATATCCAATAATATAAGTAAATGATTTCTATTTGTTGGGAAGCTTTTCCTTCAGATACCAACTTCCCTTATTCAGCTTCACTCAGTTCTCTATTCAAGTCTTTTTCTTAGACAAGCATTTTCTTCTAAATGCTCAATGTAAAAAGCATCCCTTTCCTATCACTTATTCCAGCCCTAATAGAACTCTCTGTGATGATGGAAATAGTCTGTATCTTCCCTCACCAGTATGGCAGCCACTAGCCAGATGTGGCCATTGAGCCCTTGAGTTATGGTTAATGAGACTGTGGAATAGAAGTTTTAGTATTTTATAATTTTAATAACCACATATGACTAATTACTATTCTAATATTTTCACCTGTGTATTGAGGATTTTTTTTTTAATCATCTTCATTGTTTCACTCCAACGAGGTATAATGTAAGCTTTGAAGAAAACTAGAATTTTCTGTTTCACTCACTGTCGTATCCCCAGCATCTGCAGCACTGCCTGGTACATAGTAGATACTCAACAGAGAATTGTTAATGTCTCAGTTGTTCTTCTCTTATTGCTGGGACAAATACCTGACACCCATAATGAAGGAAGGAAAGGTTTATTTAGCTCACAGTTACTGGAGGTTTCATTCCATACTCAGCTGGGTCCAAGGCAGAGTGGCACATGGCAGAAAGCAGCCTTTCATGGTGGGGGCAAGAGTAGAGGGAGGAGTAACAGTAACAGTGGCCACAAAGAGGAAGTCTGTCTCCCTTAAGTTGAAGTCAGGCTATCCGCCCCAGGCTGTGTGTAGAACTCACACCCATAATCCCAGCAGGATTGAAATCCATAATCCCAGTCTTGATCATGAATTCATCTCAAGCTCTAGAAATCCCTGCCTCATGACTGCATGAGGCTTTGGGGGGACAACTAGACACAAACCATAACAGTTAATTAACTGAAAGAGTGAATAAATGAGACAATTAAGACTTATAGCTAGGAAAGGATTCCCAGGATGGGTTATGTAGGAGCAGAATGGGAACTTCAGGACTCCCAAATGCCAACTCCTTGCTTTGTGCTTTCCCCTACACCTGCACTACACTGCTACATTGATAACTGAGAGGTAATACCAAAGCTAATAACATTTTCATGGTAATGTGCAGCCTGGCTTTTTACCCTTTCACCTCTTTGCTGCCTCTTTGGAATTTCATGTGTGGCTGGTCTTCCTCTTTAATGTAAGAAGGGAGGGATAAGGAGTTTGCCCTGGGCTGATTAGTATAACAGCGTAAAGGAAAAGAGTCTAGGTGTTCTGAGCCTTCATTTTCACTCTTGATGTCTAGTTTCATGTTTTCCACTTCAGTTGTGTTTAGTCTTCATCAAAATATTAATCCTGTCTGGATTTCACTTTTTTATATACTTTATGATTTTGTACATAGTACAGTAAACCTATTACTGTGTATACATGATATACTTACATAAATTTTACATTAGATGATGAAGCATAACCCATGATGAATCATTTTAGTAGCACATTTATGAGGAAGTGCATTCTTAAAAGATATCCCTGGCTGGGTGCAATAGTATACACCTGTAATCCCTGCCACTCAAGAGTCTAAGGTAGGAAGACTACAAATTCGAGGCCAGCCTGGATAATTTAGTAAGATCTTGTCACAAACCTAAAACAGCTGGAGATGTAGCTCCCTGGTACAGCGCTTTTGGTCCCCATCTCCAATACCACCCACACAGTACACCTATTAGCTGTTTTTAAAAACAGGGCACCTCAACATTTGTGTTTGGCTTCCTCGTTCGTATTTTAACTCTTCCTAGTTGGTTGTGTAAATTGTTTACTAGGGCTGAACCTGACGATTTTTAAAAGGACAGGTTTTAGAAACACTGGTTTTTGGATTGTATTTCTTGTGATCCATAAAAGTAGTAGAGTTTTTTATATTAGCATACATTCAAAACAACCATAGACTTTTTATTTTCCTTTTTTTTTCTGGGCAGAGAGTAAGAGTGATAGCTTTGTGTTTCATATGTGTATAAGAGACAATGTCAAAGCTTTGGACTTGGACAACTTGATAGATTGTGTTGCCTTGGCAGTTTATTTCAGCTATTAAACCCAGGGTCTTAATGCTTGGCTACATCCATAGTCCTATTTTAATTTTTTATTTTCAGTCTCTTAAGTTGCCACACTGGGCTTGAACCTGCATTCTCCACTCTCAGCCTCCCAGAGGTTTGGGGTTACAGACATGTGCTACCATACCTAGCTGTCCTTAACTTTTAGAATCTTAGCTTTCCCCTCTGCCAATGGAGATAATACTGCATACCAAAACTATTTCATTCTACTTTTGGCAATGATTAAATAATATATGTATGTTCATGCTTTGTAAATTATAAATGGAGATCAGACCAGAAGGGCTCATACCTGGGAAGTTGTGGATACCTTACACTCTGTTGGGTATATGACCTGATTATATACTTTTGAATCCTAGTTGCTAGAAGAACAATCTGAATCTGGATGGGGCCTTCCTAAGAATTCAAACTGTCATGTTTTTGTTCTCAGCATAGTAATACTTTTGAAGAGGGATGCATGTTTGCCTTGTCATTGTCCCAGATTTATTTTTCCTCCTTCGTGGAGATGTGAAACAAAATCAAAAAAACAAAAAAGACTTGCTCAAGCTAAAGTGGATAGTGATAGAGTTCAAAATAGAGTTCAGGTCTTTCATATTCACCTCACATTTTCTCGTTGCCCTTACTGAGATTATATTGGCAACATACTTATTTTTAGAATTAGCACATTATTTTAATCTTTAATCTTAAATCTTCATTATGAATGTTATGAAAGACCTCTTGCGGAAAGGCATCATTGCATCTGGCTGCAGGGTGAAATTGGTCCAGCTGACTGTGCTGCTCTGAGATAATTCTTAACTAAATCAATACCTCTTACATGTTAGATCTTTCTGAGAATACCTTGAAAGGAAAACATTTTGGAAACTTCTGCTTTTGCAGCAGTGATCATGAGAGTTCCTTAATTTAAAAACTTATGTGGCCAGTGTGATCCCAGTACTTGGGAGCCTGAAGCAGGAAAATCTGCAAATTTGAGGCCAGCCTGAGCTGAGCTATAAAATGAGTTCAAGATCAGCCTGAACTGCATAGTGAAACCCTGTCTCCAAAAAAAAAAAAAAGAATGAATGTAGATGTTAATGTTATTTCTAAGTAACATATCTCTAATTGTACCTCGAAGCCATATTGGGAGTAAATCCATTACACCGCTTCTGTACTCACATAAACTAGGCTACATTCATCCAGTGGTTCTTACCCAGAAATACACCTCAGAGTCACCCACAGAATACTTCCCAAGTTCACAAGCCTGGGTGCTAGCCTACCCTAGAAGTTCCTAGACAACTTTTAAATCCACCCCTCTTTAATAACCACTGGCCTAGGGCTAGCCAGATACTTCAGGAGATTAAAGTGCCTTGTAAGCAGGTGCCAGGGGTGATCCCCAGGCCTGCCATGCCGGCCCTGTCCCTGGGGCGCGCTGAGATGGCAATTGAGACTGGGTGTGGTGGCAGGCGCGGCCTGTAATCCTTGCTCTCAGAAGGCAGATCACTGTGAGTCCCATCTAGTAGTGAGACCTTGAACACCCTGTAGACCTTTCCCTAAAATACAAAAAAAAAAAAAAAAACCCAACCAAACAAACAAGAAACAAAACCAAACCAAACCACTGGCCTAAAGAATAGGGAATACTCCAAACAGAAATTATCTCATAATTTAATATAGCAAAAGCAGAGATTTAGGAACTAGTAAGAAAATATAAATATGATGGTGGCAATTCTAGACTATTTTTTTTATCTTATGACCTTTTTTTTTTTCTGACAGTAGACAAACCCAGGGCCAGTTTAGAAGTGTCAAGAAATGAGTGGCTAATACCATTCTCCCTTAAGGAGGCAGAAGAAACATAGTGGACCCAGTTTGGAGGGTAAAATCAAATTGAAAGAGTAGTACTTGGTCCTGTTTTGCTACTGTCCCCTTTTGATCTTTCAATATTGAGTTTAAAGCACTGCCCGTATTTTGCCCTCTGATTAGTAACTTTCCACAGGAAGTGTTGTGTGCTCCGAGCTGACCTCTGCTTTCCACCTTGTGGGCCTTTGCCAGACATTGTTGAGTCAGCAGAGGAGGGTTTGCAAGTCTCTTCCATTGCGTACATATAAAAATAAAATACCTTAACCCTTTTTTGAAGATACTTTTGAGGGAGGAAAAAAGTAAATTTTATCTCAACAAAAGCTTCTTAAGTTAAAACAATGTAATAGGCACTTTTCAGTGATATTTTTAGTTAGGCTTTAATAGAATTTTTTTTTCATTCTTCCAGATGCAATTTTATTTTATTTTTTTCTAATTTTTCATTAATTTTAATGAGAAATAGCAGTGAGTTTTGAGACAGGTTAGTAGGACAGTTACAATAATTAATACATTGCATGTTGTTGTCTTTAATAGAATCTTAAAATGATTTTTATTTCATGACTGATTTAAATAACTGTGGCAGGTAATTAATATTACTTAACAGAGGTATTCACTTCTGGTAGTTTTTAAGTCCTTAATGCTATGAGTCTGGCTTGATGTTTGAGATCTGACTTTCTGAAACAAATCTTTCCTGTAGGTGCCCTGCTCTGTGAATGAATAATCCCTGAAGAATGAAGAAGATTAAATCATTTTGGAAGTTCTTTGATGAGCTTTGATAAATGGATAAAGTATTTATAACTTAATAAAAAACAAAAGGAAAATGTCCCAGATCAAAGGCCTTCAAGTGTGTTTCATATTTGTTCTTCACATATTCATGTAGCTTTTGCTCCCCCCTTTTGTCTCTCTCTGTCTCTCTCTGTCTTTCTGTCTTTGTTAAGAGAAAGCAGATATTCTTCTCAAATAAATGAAATCTCTAAAATTAGCTAGATACAAATAAGAATAAGTAATCTTTACCAATTCAGAATGAGTGTGGTGGCCATTATGCATGCCTCATATTTTGTTTTTCATTTTTAGGTGTCTTTTTCTGCTGTACTGGGATCAAATCCATACTAGTGAAGCAATCTACCTCTTACCTGTATTCCCAGTACTTTATTTTTAGCCTTTTTAAAGGAAATAACTGAATGGATAATAATTCTAATGTTAAAACCATTGTTCTTTTTTAGTGGAAAAGTATATTAGATTTTTGATCAAATTGGTGTTGTTTGACTTGGAAGAACCAACTGTTTGGCTTAATTAACCTGAGCCTGCTTATTACATTGTAAGATAAACTAGGATCAGAAATGTAATGCTTAGGGATAAGGTAGTTCTCTGTTATATTTAATTTTGTTTGTTTCGATGGGGTCTCAACTTTGTATCCCAGGCCAGCCTCAAGCTCATGGCAATCCTCCAACTTTAGCCTCTTGAGTGCTGGGATTATAGGCATTCGCCACCTGCCTGGCTTTATCTGTTATTACTAAGAACCTGGCTCAGGCTGGAGGCTATGTTCTATTAAAAAGTCACTACAGACGACTCAGTGCTATGCCACAGTGATACTTGGAATAGAATATGGAATGTAGCTCCCTTAGTATAGCAACTGTATGGTCATTTTAGCTGCTTAAGTGCCAATGAAGTAGTTATGTAGTTCTGTAGCCACATCAAATTTATAATCTTACAGAGGGAAGGTAATGAGCAACATACTGTTCCATGTAAGGATATGTACTGTTAGGTTCTTGAATGGGAAAATTGCCTTTATATAGTAAATGAGCTTAAATTATTCTGTAGAATTCCTGATTAATTGGTTAAGTGTTTAGGTGTGAAGTATGACACTTTGGTTCAACCACTGGCTGTGTGATGTCAAATAGTCACAACAGCTTTGAGTCTGGCTTTTTTCAACTGAAAAGACATAATATTTAACTTAAAGTGCTAATTAAAATGTGTGTAAAGCACTTAGCACAAAAATTATTAGCATCCTGAAATTTCTTTGATTCTGGATTCATATTTATTACTTGAATATTCATTGAGAAAGTGCTTTCAGTAAGTATTGTGTAGGTTGTAGAAAAATGCTAGGTAAAGAGCAGAGTCTTAGGTGCCCAAGAGAGGTGTAAAGTTCCTGCCCAGTATTCAGATCCTTAGCAGGCTGTTACCTGGACTCTGCTTGAATATGACCTGGGAATACAGAAGGAAAACTCCACAACTTCATTGCCCAGTGTTAATTTTGATGTATGCTATTTGTTAATTTTGATATATGCTAGTCCAGAATTTGCCTATGCATGTATTCATTTTTAAAAACATACATGTTACTTATTTGTTGATGATAATATAACATTGTTCTTTTCCCCTTAATGTATTTTGCCATCAGTGAGTGTCGTTTTTCAATGTCATTTGTCTGTGTATCATTTCACACCAGGGCTTACCATAACTTAACCAAAATATAGGCTACCTGCTGTGTGTCACATGTCCCTCCAGGCATTACGTCTCGGTCTTGGACAGAATATGCATCAGTTGCTTGTATTCTAATTGGGAGTCATTTCATTTAAACAGAAGTCGCTTGCAATCCCACCGGTCTGGAGTAGGCTCAGCCTTTGGTGCTCTTTTCCATACATCTATTGCCATCTGTTTGCCTACTTGTTACTTTCTTTTCCCTTTTGGCTACTCTGTAATACCACTGCAATGGGACATTCCATAGGAAAGCTTTACAAATGTGCTTTATTAATCATTCAGCTAGGGACGAACCAGAGGCTATGCATGTTTTCAAGGCTTGGGAGAGTATTACTGCTTAACTGGCCTCTAGAAAGAGGGATCCATTTGCACCTTAGTATCTGAGGGTACTCTTTTCCTCAGCACTTAGTAACACTGATTTTTCTTTTTAAAGCCTGTGCTGACTTGACATGGTCATTGATTTGGAAAAACACTAAACCATGCTTTTTGGCCTTTGCTACAGCTGAAAATACATCTTATAGGCCCTCTGCCGATCTTTGATATGTAAACCTCTCCAAGGACAAGGGGCAGTAATGTTAAGAGATGCTGTGGGTGCTACAGTACACATCTGTAACCCCAGCTACTCAGGAAACAGAGGCAAAGGATTGCAAGGTAGAAGCCAGCCTAAGCAACCTAGTAAGACTCACAAAAGTGAGTAAAGAGTTGTGGATGTAATTCAGTGAAGTACTTGCCTGGTGTATGTAAGGCCTTGGGTTCTATCCTCAGTATAGGTGCCCAGAAAGGCCAAGGGAATGTTCTTGCTAGATAGCTGATGGCCTGAGATAGGAATCTAGGTCTTTCAAGTTCAAGCCCAGTGTTATAGGACCCATGGTATATGTTATAGGATGGGCGTGGTGTCCATGTTATGTAGACACCGTGGTACCTGGTGTCTAATCCAGTATCATCTATTCAGTTACATATACATTTATTCATGCTCTACATAGGGCTGAGGATGTACAAGAGCAGCCCTAGGTGTGGTGTGGTCATGTGAGAGTCACATGGGCATCCATCAAGATGAGAGTGGTTCAGGACTCGCTGAGGCCCCATTGCATGCCAACTCTGGGCCAAGAGCACATAGTTAATGTGCAAAGATTTGTAAGACATGGGCTCTGATACTTCCAAGCGCATAGACTTGTGTTTTCTCCTCTTGGTCCTTCTCTTTAGGCTTATCCTGTCTCATGATTATGGCAACTTCAAGCTTTACATCATCACTGCTATGTTCAAGTTAGGTGAAAGATTACGGGATGCTTTTCTGTCAGCATGTATGCCTCTTCCAGAAAGCTCCCTTTTCCATCTCATTGGTTCTATGCCCACCTTTAAACCATGGAGCTAATGAGATACTCTACTTGGGCTTTACCAATCTTTTCTAGCCTTGCAGCTGGGGTAGAAACCCACCTTCCTTGACACACTGCCCCCAAAAATCAGTTTTTCTTAAACTAAAGAACAGCAGGGAACAGCTTATAAGGAATTAACCAATTTGCATAAGATCATTTGGGCATTGTGTCCATATCCTATATTTGGCATCTATCCTATTTGCATATCTGTATTAGGAAAGCATTAATCTTGTAGTGGATTGTTAACTAGGGGTCAGCTTACACCCAGCTGAATTGAACTAGTGACAAAATTGATTCTGGGAAAGTGGTGTTATTACTGTGCTGTTGCCACATGACTTAACATTTGGAATTAATTTGGAGATGTTTTGAGAGATTGGCCAAAGAGATAGCTCCTGTATGCTGTAAACTATATTGGAGACTCTGATTTGAGCCTGGAAAATCAGAATACTGATGGAAATGCTACCAGTTAAGGTAAATTTCGGGAGGCTTTAGTTGAAAAGAGAACTGCATTGGCTGCTGGACCCAGGTAGTATATTGTGCTTTGCAGAAATTTGGTCTGCATTTTGTGTTTAGGGATATTGCCTGGGTGGATAAAAAAAATTTCAGTGCAGTCTACTATTTGAAAAGTGGTGTGGTTACTGTTGAGAACTTTTGGCTAGATCTATGTTTGAAATTAAGAGCAAAGAGCCACGGTACGAATGGCTAGAGGGGTGGCTCTACTGAAGCTTTGGCTTCTGTGGGTGAAATAGAGAGACCAGTGTTGTTAAGCACAAGACAAAGTAAAAATGAACTGAAGCTTTTTACCTGAAGATAAGATTGTATTTAAATTGCAGGAGGTCTGGGGAGATAGCTCAGCAGTCTAAGCTCCTGCCTGGCAAGCTCAAGAACCCAAGTTTGATCCCTGGAATCCCAGGTATGCCATGCCAGCCCCGAAACCAGGCGTGGTGGCACACACTTATAATCCCAGAGCTAGGGAGTGAGAAAGGATCACTACAAGTCTGAACTGTGTATCAAGACCCTGTATCAGATAAATATTTTTTAAAAAAAGATTTTAAAATAAAATAATTGCAGGAGATTCCTGTTTTTTAGTCTTGCCATATGTTGTAAACTGTGAGTGGTAAATAGGGACTGTGATTGTATTCTTTTAATGTGCTTATATGTATTTGTAATCAAGTTAAAGTATTATGTTTTAACCTTAAGTTTTAGTCACCCTTTGAATATTTTTGATGTAGGAATGCATGGAAAAAAACTATATATCCAATTGTAATATTAATGTAAATCCAAATAGACCAAAACTGTTAACTTTTCACAAATCTGCCACTAGAGACTATTTTAAGAAATATGTATGGTTATCAAGTTGACTAGGGGTAGATTGTAGTGGATTATTAACTGATGGTCAACTTGTTACACCAGCTGAATTGAACTACTGTGGCACTAGGTCTGGGAGCCCCTCCTGAGGATGATGCCAGCAGCATAACAGGAAGAACTGGAGAAGCTGCTGAGAGGTTGTTAGGGAAGGTCTTTGGAGAAGCTGTTAGAAGCTGCTGGCTCTCTTGGGCTCTTCTGCTGGAGGACCTTGTCAGGCTGACTTTACTGATGAACTTGGCTGTTCTGGTCGGAGGAGGAGCTTGAGACCTCGTTGTTGCTGAGGATGCCTACCATTCATTTTGGAGGAGCTCTGGTCCTCATCTTGAGCATTGCCTCCTGGCTCCAGGAAAGAAGATGGTGCACTACTCAGCCTTGTGGAGAAGTTTGTCACATTGGCTTTCCTGATGGGAATTCAGCTTTCCTCATCACTGAAGGAGCTCAGGACCTCACTGTTGCTGAGGATAGCTGTGGTACTTTTCAGGGAAGTTCTGGTGCTTACCTTGAGCGTTGCTTTCTGGCGCCAGTTCAGATCCCTCGGTCTTCCAGCGCAGATGCTTCGTCCCTCTGGCATAGACTTTCTAGCTTCCACCACTGACATTTGGGCCTTTCCAGTGAGATCTGTGAAGCGGGCCTGCATGAGACATTTTCATGGGCTCTAGACCTCCCTCCAGCTGGACTTGTGAGAAGCATTGTTATGAGCTCTAGGTCTTCAGGTGGACATACAGGACATTATTGTAGGATCTAGTCCCTCCACTGGATTTTCTGGTCCTTAGTGTGTGGACACATTTCCTGCACTCTTTGTATATGATTCTTTGTGTGATTCATTATAAAATAATCTTAAAAAATGTGTCCTGTGTTGTATGTTCACCTTGAAAAAACCCCAAACCAGGACAAATCTCAAGCCCAGTGTTTGTCCAACTGTGTGTGATGAAGAGCTACCGTTTTCTGCCAGTTACCACAGACCAATAGAAAAGTGGAGTTTTCTTTAAAAATGTACTTTAAGAAGACACTTTTAAGCCCAAAAATTTTATTACTAGATCCAAAGGCTCTTAGGTTCCTCTGTTAAAATGCTATAAAAATGTCTAAATACTCTTGATTTCTGTCCTTATCTCAGCGTGGGCCAAGTGCGAGACCAGAGTCGGCTCTTGACCACACTTGGGAAGCGCTCTAAGACCAGCTGACTATGTAATCTGGCCCAGTCTGCCTCTCCTGTCTTATGTTGTGCTACTCTTTGGATTCACTAATGACAAGCTGTTCTGCTACCAGATTATGCTGTGTGTTTTTGCTGTGCTTCTGGGCATGACTTCAATTTCTATTCTTCCCCCCAGAACACCCTCCCCTGGCTGCAGGGTACCAATTCATCTTAGAACAGCTTAATATTATCCAGCCCATGATGTTTTTCCTGATGCTTTGGCATACTCATCAGTATTTTCCTTTGTGCCCTCCTTATTTCATGAGGCTGCATTTTTTTCTTCACTAAAAGTTCCTTGAAGGTATTCTGTTTCATCTTTTTATGTCGTTTTTCTTTTTGTCTTTTGACATAATGAAACAGGGTTTCATTATGCAGGTCAGGCTGGCCTTGAACTTACTTTGTAGCCCAGGCTGGCCTCCAGCTTAGTGCTGGGATTACAGGTGTGTGTACCATCATGCCCAGCTCCTTGTGTGTCTTCTTACTGGCAGACACAGTTTGTCCTGAGTAAGTACTTATTGGATTGAATCAACAAGTCAGGCAATTTCTGTTTCTTTTCTTTTGTTCTTCCCCAGATAGTTTCCACTCATGTTTTCATGTTTGTGGATTTCCTTATAAATAAGGACATACTGTTTTGATACACATTAAAATTTTCTTTCTTCTTTTGTCAAATCTGACTTTAAAAATAAAGGAGATATAACTTCTGGTTATCTTATTCTGACCACAGGTCCTGTTCTATGACTGTCACCAACCCTATTTTTCTCTGACACATATGCCACCCAGCAGTGTACTCTAATCTCCTGTAGCAATAAATGTATATAGATACATATAAACTCCCAGAGTACCTGGGAGGATGGTTTAGACTCATACTGACTTAGACTTTAATTCCTGTTTACACACTTACTATGTGGCAAGTTCTTTCATTTCTCTAAGCTTGTGTCGAGTAGAAATAAAAATATCATAACCTAGCGCAGGGAAACCTTAGTTGCTTGATAACCATTAGAGTGCTCTGCTTAGATGAGCATAGGAGGATGGGCATCAGGGCAAACGAACAGAAGTTAATGGATTGCCTGTCTCTTTAAAGGGTCAGGGCCAACCCTTTGGGCAGGCCAGCAGAGAGTGATGACCTGCTGGGAAATGCTATCTTGGGCAGATCCTCTCAGTGGCTCCTCTGCCTCTGCTCTGACTTCCCTGCCCACGGCGGCAGGACACCTACTCTCACAGCTCGGGGCTGTGCGACTAAGGTAGCCAGATGAGCAGTGGCTTCACGGTAAAGTGGACAGCTTGGTTGGGAGGCAGGCAAGTGGCATAAAAGTGGCATGAGGAAATCCCTGAAGTGCATATGTCAAATGATGGCAAGGTCCGGATCCTTGCCACGAGTGAGGCATGAGGGTGTTTCTTCTGTAAGCGCGCTGGCCCTTGCCCTTCACTACAGAGGCTCCTCTACCCCTGCTTACCTTTGGAAAGGAGATCTGATGCCCATTTGTTGGTCAGTTGATTTTAATTAAGTGAAAACCTGGCTCCCCTCAGTATGCACACACGTTCACAGCCTTGTGCCTGTGCTTGTCCATTGTCACCCCTAGAAATGCTGCCTTCCTTTTGCCTACATCATTCCTATGCCTCACCAAATAAATACCAGCTCTCTTCCTCCCTATTGTCACTTTTCCTGAGCTGCTACTGTTCATTAACCTTAACTCAGTTATTGTTCTTCATGAGACCTTCTATGGATTACATCCTTTATGCCCACTTACAGTACAAACCACCTGGGACAGAATATTAAGTCTGACAGTATGGAGTTCAAATCCTAGGTCTGTCTCTTATTCCTTGTGCAAATGTGTTTCCTGTCTGAGCCTCTGTTTCTTTTATGATAACTAATGAATAAGTATATAAAATGCCCAGGTCTGGCACTTACTGGAAGTATGTGGGTGATGGGGGAGCAGTGGATTATCATTTATTCACTTACTACCTCCAGGTACATGTAGGAAATCTTCAGTTTAGAATTCACAAGGCTGTTTTACAGTTACTTTTGTTGAATGTGTGTCAGATAAATGCTTACTGATATTTGTGGTGATTTCAAAGCTTTCAAGAGGTTTTCTAGTCTTCATGGCTAGGACCTTTTCTGACAGTAGTCACACACTGTGACCCACGCAGGAGCAGGAGAGCCCTCTGGGCCTCTGCCTGCTGTGCCAAGGTGGGTCCGCTCGCTTTCCTTTGTCACTTCTTGCCCGCCTCTCTTGCCCGTAGTCTTATCTTGTCCCCTGGGAGGTATGCTAAGTGCTCTGCCAGCCTGCCTGACTGCCTGGCCTGTTTTTTCTCACTGGCAGCACCTCTTGAATTCCAACTCCAAACATGGTAACCCTCTGGGGTCACCCTTTCTTCCGGTGCCAAGAGAGAACGCATTCCAAATGGAGCACAAGTGTGCCTCCTGTGCGAGGCTCTCTGCATTCTGCTCAGGAGCAACAGAGAGCAGGTTGTGGCCACCGCGGCCCGCGCTGCTTAGGTCTCCAGTCTCACCATCCTGCTTTTCTCTCAGGACAGTTGAGGTTCTCTGCTAAGGACCAAATATAAAGACTGTTCTCAGAGTCCTGGAGCCAACGAAGCTTGCCAGAGCGCTGCAGGGAGAGCTCTAGCCTTGCTGAGACAGACAGAAAAGTTGTGAAAGTCTCTGTACAGCGTGCCATGTTCTGGCATTCATCCCCAAAGCCGCTGGAAGCAGAGGTGGAGCTGGTGCTGAGAAGCTGCAGGTGAGAAGATCTCTGGGAGGACGGAGTAATTCATGTGAGCTTCCTGTCTGGGGACAGCACCAGAGCGCAGCAAACCTTGGAGCTGCCCCAGAGATGGGCACCAACAGCAGTACGGTGGGCCAGCTCCTCTGGCAGGGGCCAGTGTGTCTGAGCTGGAAGCAGGATCTGGAAGGGGCTGTGTACCACCTGGCCAACTGCTTCTTGCTCCTGGGCTTCATGGGGGGCAGCGGAGTATACGGATGCTTCTACCTTTTTGGCTTTCTGGGCACGGGCTACCTGTGCTGCGTGCTGTGGGGCTGGTTCGATGCCTGTGGGCTGGACATTGTCCTGTGGAGTTTCCTGCTGGCAGCAGCCTGCCTGCTGCAGCTGGCATACCTGGTATACCGCCTGCGCATGGACACCCTCCCCGAGGAGTTTGACCTCCTCTACAGGACACTGTGGCTGCCCCTGCAGGTGCCGCTGCACACCTACAAGGAGATCATCCTCTGCTGTCAGGAGCAGGTCTTGACTCTGGCCACAGAGCAGACGTATGCCGTGGAGGGGGATACACCCATCAACCGCCTGTCGCTGCTGCTCTCAGGCCGGTAAGCTGCTCTGATGATGTCATCCCCCAGCATTTCTTTCCCCAGCCCACACTTCCTAGTTCCTAGTGTCCCTTTCCATTCCGTGTCCTTTCAGCAAGGGAAGGATGTGGCAAGTCAAACAAACTGAAATAGATTTTTCTAGGAGTGAGTTTACTTCCCCTTACTATTTTCCAAGAGGAAACTAGATCATGGGGCCTCTTACTGGCTGAAAAAAAATGACTTCATGTGCAGTTGCTGCTGGCAGAAGCAGAATTCAAAGCTAAAATGAGGGCTGGGAAGATAGTTCAGCAGTCTAAACACCTGCCTGGCAAGTGCAAAAACTCAGTTCGATCCCTGGTACTGCATGCCATACCAGCCCCACAACCCCAGGCGCACTGAGACAGCCACTGAAACTGGGTGGAATGGTGCACACCTATAATCCCAGCACTGGGCAGGCTGAGACAGGAGGATCACTATGAGTCTGAGCTGCATAGCAAGACCCTGTATCAAAGGGGAAAAAAAAAGCTGAAGTTAACACACACACACACACACACACACACACACACACACACACCAGTGTTCCAGGATATGATGTCAAGTAAGACTTGGACACTGAAACTTTCAGTAAGTTTGTTAAGCACCAACTGTGTCAGGAAATGAGACCAGAAACACAGGGCATTTCCAGTGTCCCATTTCCTGCCAGGGCATCAAGGAAACAGCCCAACGTGGGTCTGGATATCCTGTACCAGCACTGCAGTGTAGCCAGTCTGTGTACAGCCAGGGGGGAGGGAATAGCCCTTGCCCACTTTTCCAGTCCCAGTTGTTCTCTGGAGATTCTTGCAGGTCAAGAAGTCAAGTCCTGCCACTCTGAGGTCCCCACAGTAATAAAAGGGTAGTGGTGGCCACATAGGTCTCATCCAGGTTGTGGTGGAGACTAACAGATGTTGGCAGCAATGGTCCTAATCTATGCTCACCGAATGCCCAGTGTGGCCATCAATAGCTGATGAGAAAACACCATGGGGTTCTGTGCTGTACATTTTGTGTGCAATTGTGTTCTGTTCTTTGAAGTAGTTCTCTAGTTGCACCCCCACCCAGGAAGATGGCTGAAAAGAACACGGTAATCAGAAGGTTCTGATTCAAAGAAAGAAAGAGGGAATGAGTGATGGAAAGGGAAGGGAGAAGGAAAGGGAAAGGAAGAAAAGGATAGGAGAAGGGAGGGGAGAGGAGGAAAGGAAAGGAGCCAGGTGTAGCAGTGGTACACCCCCATAATCCCAGCATTTGGGAGGCTGAGGCAGGAGATTGCTGTGTTCAAGGCCAGCTTGAGTTACATAGTGAGTTCAAAGCTAGCCTGAACTATTATTTAGCAAGACTCTGTCTCAAAAAAAAAAAAAAAAGGATCAGGGAGAAGAAGGGAAGGGAAAACAGGGAAGAGGAGGAAAGGGAAGGGGAAAGAGAAAGGGAAAGAGAAAGGGACCCAGTAAAAGAAAGGGGAAAGGAAAAGGGAAAAGAAAGAGGGAGGAGGGGAGAGTTGAAGAAAGGAAAGAATGAAAGAGGGAGAAAGAAGAACAAATTAAATCAGACTGTCAGCCACACAGTGAGGGAAAGGGTTGATAATGATGACAATCATGTGATAACTGCTATTAATGGAAGTAAAACACTTGTGTTTATAGAGTCCAGAGTAGTACAGATATATGTCATGATTTTTATGGAGCTCAGGAGTGCCTGGGTTGATGACCATAAGGGGAGAGAGCTTGAAGCGAGAAGTTTTATTTCATTTGAAGGTGTACACAAGTTATCAGTGACCCCCTAGGAGCACTATGGTCACTAACAAAATGTTTGTTTTGTGCTTAAAAATAATCTAGGGAATTCACTCATTCAGGAGACTCATGACATCACTTGCTCCTTTTAACTCTTTTCAGGAGGGAATGGAGACCAGGAGAAATGTCCCCCTTGCTAGAAGCAGGTGACAGTTGTCTCATAGGCAGAGAGCTTCTCCTGGATACACTTGTGGCAGGCAGCGAACTTGTATAGACCACATCTCTGTGAAGGGAAAGGAAAGGGAGACCTTGTCCCTCCCTGAAGCTTTTCTAGCATCAAAACCCTAAGTTAGAAATTAGACGATTTTGATTCTTTTATTTGCTTTTGAAGTTTTGCGCTAATGATTTTGTTCTGCTTAATGTTTTGTTATCTCTCAACGTCATCCTATCCCAGCTTTGCTAAATCAGAAAAAGAGGAAGAGGATGCTGGTGGCTCCACTTCTAAGGGAGAGTCGCTGTGCCCTGGCTGGTTGCATTCAGTGTCAGACACCTCAAAAGAGCCAAGAGAACTGGCTCTCACACCCCTCCCCATCTCACATGCAGATTGTCATGGGAGCCCTTGGCTTACACCTCAGAAATCTTACTTTATTTTAATGAGGGTTGTCAGTCTCTTCCAGGACTCGGAGAACAGAGTGACTTCCTCACAGCTGGTCGCCCCCTGAAGCTGTGATTACTGTTGGAGAGTTTTTTTTCTCCTCTAAATTGCAAAGCATAAACTCCTCCAGGCACAACCCTGAGCAGGCAGCTGTGTTAAGCTGTTACCTTAGGAGGAAGTAACCCATCATCCACGGGATGAAGAAGAAAGACACACATGATGAAGCACACAATAAACCTGCTCTCATGGCTTCTGTGAGCAGTCTCAGATTCTGTCACTGCTTGGTGGCTGGCTGGAGTGCCCATGTCCTCACCTGAGGAGATGGGGGAGAGGGGATGTGTGTATGCCTCAGAGCTTGCCTCCTCTCCCCCATCTTCCTTTCTCAGAGAAGCTTTTGCTTAAGGCTACAATTCTGCTTTTATGGTGATACTAATGAATGTGATTATCTTTCCTTTCTTCTTTCTTCCTTTCCTCTGCTTTTCTCCATACACAAATACTTACTAAGAATGTGAGGGGGTAAGGACCTGGGGTTAAATGTGAAAACTATTGTCTTTCCACTCATGGAGCTTTCAGTCTATCACAGAAGCTGATGATTAATGTGTGCCGTCGTGGTTAACAGTGGATACCGTGTTTCCACAGAGAAAGGTAAAGTGAAGGAGAACATGAAGGAGTGCATCTCTTTTTTGGGAGGTCAGACAGGACTTCCTGTAAGAGGGAGAATTTAAAGTTGAGACCTGAGGGAAGAAGTCCCGCTGGAGACAGCATACATGAAGACCTGGGGTAGGAGAATATGGCACTTCATTTTCACTTGTACTTTTTCATTACTCAGAAGACCTTGAAGGAGCAAGCACGTCTGCCTTTGGAGAGTCAGGGCCTACTCCATCATTTGCCTGATTTGAGACCTGAATCCTCTCTGTCTTCCTTCTTTAGATGTTCAGATAATGGTCAATAGCCTAGTAACTGGTGATGGTCTTTGGTAATTTAAAATTCATCTGAGGCAAGAAGGTGCCTTTGTGGCCAAAGGAGGGGGTGGGAAAGATCTCTGAGGTACACATATCCATGTGCAGGGAGGTACCCTTCCACTATTCCTGGAGCCTTATTGGCTAAATAAATCCTCCTGGAGCACCTCCTGACCTTGGAGGCCTGGAGATGCGGAGATGGGTATGGTCTGGCTCTTACTTTTCAGGGTTTCACAGTGTAGTAGAAACCACAGGCACACAAATAACCTGCTGCAGCTCAGAGTGGCAAATGCTGCTGCAGAACAGATACATGGGGGAGGATGAGGGATAGACTTCCTTCACTGCCAGCCTATCAAAGGGAGTGGTACATAAGCACACTGCATGTCCAGGCATTCTTTAAGGGCAAGACTCAGGAGTGCTAATATTCCATTGACCATAACTTAGTCCTTGGCTATACCTAGTGGCAAGGGAGGTAAGGAATAGTCTTAGCTGGGAACTCACTTGTCCTGTTAAAACTATAGCACTGTGGAGAAAGAGAAGAGCAGAGAATGGACAGACTGCCACATTGGACTTCTCCGGTCTCTGTCCATCCCCTCCTAATTGTTTCTCTATGTCCTCTTTATCCTCCAGAACTCAAATATTCCAATGTCAGTTGAGAAGTCTCCCACTAAGAGAATGAGTTCTCTCCCACCTCTGTGCTCCCATCCCACAGCAGCTTTCACACACCGACTTTTAGCAGGTTATGTGTGTTCCTGTGAGTCCCACTCAGATGTAAAAGCAAGAGCCAGGCTGCTCCCATTTCTCTATCCCTCAGAGCACAGAAGGTGCTCTGTGAATATATGTTTAGCCACTAAAGCTACAGAAGTAGTGCAAGTGTATTTTCCTCCAAATAAACATATATATCATAGAGATCCAAAATTTGGTCTTCTTCCCTCCCCAACAGAGTTCTTTGCTTGTTTGATACAACTCGTGAAGAATCTTTGAGTTTTCTGGGGAGAGAAAGACAATACTCAGACTGGATTCTGGTCATTTCCCAGATGCCACATGGCACGTGACAGGTACTCACTCTGCCCTGCAGTCAGATATGTGGGGGAGGATGAGAGATGGACTTCCTTCACTGGCAGCCTCCCAGAGGTGTTGGTACATAAGCACACTGCGTGTCTAGGCATTCTTTAAGAGCAATGGATTCAAACAGATTCTTACAAAATGCAGTTTCTTGTCCCTGCAGGAGCAAATCAGCAGGTGAGGCACTGACCACTGGGATTCAAAGCAGGCTGCAGCCTGGCACTCCAGCTGCAGCATCGTAAGAACAAGCCTGTGATCATGGGCAAATGGGGAGCAGTCACTAAACCCACTGGGAGTGTGAAATAAAATTATTCCTAAAATTGAAGCCAATCATGAAGTAGAATCCCTGGCTTTACACATACAAATCTCATCTATTTAGCTGGATGGAGACAAAGGTCTTTTAGGAAACAAGGTTATTTCATCAAAGTCAAGGAAAGGGGCACAGTTGAGCTTCAGGTAGGAATTGAAATGAGAACATGTTCTCCTGGGCATTTTGTATGGTTTCTGATTTCTCTTCCCTGTGGCCAATTGAGCTATATCCTCTTACAAAATCTGAGTTCTAGGATTTAAAACACAATGTTTTGTTTTTTTGATCAAGGAGTGTATGAGTCTTGCCAATATCTGATAGTTGTTCTCATATGAGACATTAGTTAATTCCAGTTCCAGTTTGGAACTGGAAAGGGTTTGAGTGGCTCAGCTGAAAGGGTTTGAGTGGGATGGGATGGGTTTGAGTGGCTCAGCTGAAGTTAAGTGTTCAGCCCAGGGCCGGCCCCTGGACAGTGTGCATGGGATCACATTGCCCAAACCCAGAAGCTGTCGCTGTCGCATTATGGCCCGTTGTTGAGCACAGAGAAAGGGCAATGCAAGGAGCATCCACCATCACTCCCAAGGCTCTGATAACAGGGTGTTGTAGCAAGAACAGAATCCCAGTTGTGCCACCCGATAGCTGTGCAACCTTAATTCACCAGCCTTTGTGAGCATCAGTTTCCTTAACTATAAAACACAGAAAGCAATAATCTACCTTGAGTTAATTTGATGGTTAAATAGGAGAACACTTGTGAAGTATCTAGCCGAGCCTGCCATATAGTAGATGTCCCGATTCCTTCAAAGTCTGCAAAGTGGCTATGTTGCAAGTGTGCAGTGTGTAAACAGTGGCTCTTCACATAGCCTACTGAGAAGGGAAAAGGACAAGCTACCTGGCTGAGCCCCCATAATGGTGTCATCCAATAGGACGTTGGCAGCATTCTATGTTGTAGAATATGGTAGCCAGCAGGCTATTGGCTATGGAGCACCTGACATGTGGTTAGTGTAACCGAGGAACTCGATTTTCAACTTTATTTAGTTCTAATGAATGTGAATATAAATGTAAATAGCAGAGCTCTAGCATGGTGGTTTCAATCCTAGTTACATGATAGAATCAGCATGAAGATTTTTAAAACTAATAATGTCCAAATCCCATCTTCAGGTTCCTTTTTTTGTTGTTGTTATTTTATTTTGCAGTATTGGTGATCAAACCCAGAACCATGAACATGCTAGGCAAGTGTACTCTAACACTGAGGTACAGTCCCAGTCTTTACTTTCTTTCTTTTCCTCCCTCCCTCCTTCTCTCCCTTCTTTCCTCTTCTCCTTTCACTTTTCCTTTTTTCTCCCTTTCTCCATCTTTCTATCTGTTTCCATCTCTCTCTTGGGAATTAAACTCCAGGACTCATACATAGTAGATAAGCACTCTCCTACTGAGCTATATCCCCAGCTCCAACCCTAGTTGGGACTTTTGTTGTTTTTATTTTGTTTCATTTTGCAGTGCTGAAGATTGAACCCAGGACCTTTGTACTGAGCTACATCCTCAGTGCCTTTTGATATTTTGTTTTGAGATGGGATCTGAGTTGCTAAAGTGCCAGCCTAGATTCAAACTTGTGATAGTCCTGCCTCAGCCTCCTGAAGTACTGGGGCTATAGGTATATGCCACCAAGCCTGGTGTTTTTAAAAGCTTCCCTGGGACTTCCCTGGGGTTTTTAAAAGCTACCCTGGGGCTCCTATTCTGCAGCCTGGAATTTGGTACCACCAGGACAGAGAAGGGAGAGGAAAAAGAAGCCCCAGGAAGTCTCAATGTGTCTCCTTTCTAAACAGTTTCCGTACAACATCACTATTTTCCCTTTGCGTTTTACTGCACTTTAGGCCAGGTATTTCTGCTGGAACATCCATGTTGATCAGCAACACGTGACTTCAGTGAAGGTGCTCACGCAGCCATTTATTTCCCTTTGCCGTACCATCTCTCCTCTCCTTTTCCCAGGGTTCGTGTCAGCCAGGATGGGCAGTTTCTGCACTACATCTTTCCATACCAGTTTCTGGACTCTCCTGAGTGGGAGTCGCTGCAGCCCTCTGAGGAAGGCCTTTTCCAGGTAGGTAATCAGGAGTGCTTGGCAGCCCTGCCTCACCCATCCTGTGCTAGTCTCTGACTTTCCCCCTCATATCTCTCCTTTGGCCCCTAGTACTATGATGCTGGAGTGGGACTGTGGCCACACTCTGCTCTGTGCAAGGAGCTGTGAGATCTGGGAGAAAGGGAGAAAGAGAGGGAGGGGCTGTTCACTGGTAGGAGGTCACGTCACTCCAGAGACAAAAACGTCCAGTCCCCTCTGGCAGCCCCTTCCACTCCCCCTTCCTCGTACAATTTGCTTACACTAGACATGCTGGACCTCTAGTGCTTGCCTATAAACAGCACATTGTCACCCCACTGGGTGCTTTGGTCCCTGCTTTTGCTTCTGCCGAAAGGCACTTTCACCTCTAGATGAAAGACCTCGCTCGCCTCCACTGTGAAGCCCAGCAGAACAGTGCTCCTGCTTCCCCAGCAGCCTCCTGTCCCTGCCCCTCATTCTCCTCTCACTCATTGCTGACCGGTGCCCATGGTGTGGTGCACATGGTGTTTGGTATCCCAACACACCAGCTTCCCTCCCATCTTCCACATGATGAGATTCTTAGAAGTAAAAGTCTGAGCTGCTTCTTCCCTCTGTCCTCAGGCTCCAAAGGACAGTGCTTAGAACACAGTAGATATTTACAAAGGCTAGCTGAACCAGCTGGCCAGGGACAAATCATGTCTCAGAGGATTCTTCTGAGCACTCAGATAAATATTCCAAGGAGAAGGGGGTGACTGCTTGGCCCCTGTTGTCTTCCTTGCCAATCTTTAGACACTAGCTACTTTCTCTATAGCTCTTCCTCACTGAATGGCTGGCATGTAGCAGATATTGCATACCATAGGGCTTTGGGTTAGGTATTATTAATACCATACTTAGTAGATGAAAAAGCTAAAGCCCCCAAATATCATGAATTCAGCTAAAAAGTGGCAAAGTCCAGCTGCCTGGGTCTGCTACTCATGCTCCTTTTTAAGAATAAAAGGACCATCAGAGCAGTGAAGTTTCATACACATACCTTTAGGGACTTCCTTGTCTAGAAAGGTCCCTGGCACTGAGTTCCACATGTCTCCTACCCTGTTTGTCAGGGAGCCTCAAACCAGCATATAAGCCAACCCCAGAACAACACATACCAGGCAGTGTCTCTTGGCCAGGCCCGCTTCCTTCCCCACCCTGACCCTTGGCTCTGCGGTAACGGCCTGGCCACCAGCTATAGTTCCCACCAATCAAAATCCCACCCTGCCCTCCCCACACACTCCACCCTCCCTGAGCACCCAGTGATCTCTGCAGGGAACTCCCCCAGGAGGGCTGAGTCAGAGCCTGAGCCAGTCCTACCAGGCTTCTGACACAGAGCAACAGGTGGTGAGAAGCTGGGTTCCTCCCCTGAGTTATGCTGCAAGGAGGGGCCATCACCCCAGATGGCCTCTGCACCTGGAGTGAGTACAGCACATGCTTCCCGTTTATATTTTTAGGGTGCATCTCCTTTGGATGCAGTGAGATCCACACATTCATGATTGGCTGTGTAAAAATCCCACTTCCTCTTTGCAAATGTCAGATGTCCTTAAGGACACAGGCAGAAGGCATCGAACACAAGTCACCACTCTTCCTCTGATCTGCATCCTAATTTACTTGACCCAAAGCCTATTTGCATGTTATCTCATTTGATCTCTCCAAACAGCCTCTGAAGTGAATATTAAGTTATAAGCTAGGAAATTTTATGATAGACATGCCCATACATATTTGGGAACCAAGCAAGAAACATTTCTGGAGTACCTTTAGGAAACTTTTACATAGGACACAAGAAACTGAAATTTAGTTGTTTTGCCATATACAAAATTAGTAGTTTTCACTTGATTCTTTAATTGAGTTGAGTCGTGTTTATTGAAAGCATATACTATATCAGGCACTCACTGTTGAAGGTGCTTGTACTGTATCAGTGAAGAGAACCTTATGCAATTTGCATTCTAGTGAGACATAAAAAAATCTATGCATATAATTAATGAGTAAATTATGAAATATGTTACAGAGTAATGACTGCTAATTCAAAAAACATAGAGTAGGTCGCCGAGCCTTCCTCGGGCCGGCAGTGCTTGCGGCGCGGGCGCCGGCTGGGGGACTCGGAGCGCTCTGTCGGCGGCGACCCGGAGCAGCTGCCCCTGCTGCTGCTGCTGCTGCTGCTGCTGCTGCTGCTGCTGCTGCTGCTGCTGCTGCTGCTGCTGCTGCTGCTGCTGCTCGGTGCTCTGGCCGTGGCCCGCGGGGGCTGGGCGGACAGCGAGCGCACAGTTATTTGAAGAGAAACCCAGAGAATCCAAAAAGCTTGATTTAGCCGGGTGTGGTGGCTCCCGCCTGTAATCCAGCGCTTGGTAGGAGGCGACACAGGTGCGAGGCCACCCTTGGCTGCACGCGCAGTTGGACGGCGAGATCATGTGAGAAAACAACAGCAGAGACAACCACAATGCCGGATTTACCGCAGGCATCACTATTCCCCTGTTACAAGTTTGCCTACTGGGGAAAGAGTGAGCACAAACTATTCTGAGTTTCCCTTGGAGAGGCACAGCATTCAGCTAACTGAACATTCCAGGATGCTAGAAAAAAATGTCACTTTGGAGAGCCCTTCTCTCGTTTCTCTCACCTGCGAGTTCACACCATCAGGAAACGTGACGTTGGTCAACGTGACCTGGACCAGAGGCACCGAGCTGATGCTGCGTTCTCCTCACTGCAGTGTTCGTGGACAACACCGTGCATGCCCAGTATCAGTTCACCATCATCAACAGCAAGCAAATGGGGAGCTATTCCTGCCTCTTAGAAGACAAGCAGGAACAAAGGGGAACGTTTAACTTCAAAGTTCCCGAACTTAGTGGAAAAAACAAGCCGTTCATCACTTACGTGGGGGACACTGCTGTGCTGGTGTGTAAGTGTCCCAAGTGCCTTCCTGTGCGCTGGGCCTGGTACAGAAGTAACGGGAGCGAACAGGTTCCGATCGATGCGCTCATGAACGACACGTATGTCATCAGCGGGACCCACAGCAATAAGACGAAGCTCAAGATCAGGAATCTCCGGGAAGAGGACGGGGGCGCCTACTGGTGCCGAGCAGAGTTCCAGCTGGGCCAGAGCACGGACCAGCTGGACCTTGTGGTGCTGAGCTTCCTGGTGCCCCTTAAGCCGTTCTTTGCTATCATCGCCGAACGAAGTCATTGTTTTAATGTCTATTATTCTTCTGTGTGAAGTGTACACAAAGAAGAAAAAGAAGCACCCAGATGATGGGAAAGAATTTGAACAAATTGAGCAGTTGAAGTCGGATGATAGCTACGGAGTAGAGAACAACGCCCCCAGGCAAAGAAAAAAATGAGTCTGCGAGCCGGATTGGAATGGAGATGACCACGTGGAGCTGCGTGGGAGAATGTGCAGAGACTTCGCCTTTCAGCTTTAAGAGCATCTGAGTTTATTTTTTCAAAGATAAAAGTTTACGCAGCATGTACAGCAGTAGCTTCTTGAATGATATATTCTATCTCAGGTCCAGAGCCTTTATTTTCATTTTGTTATTGTTTTATACTAAAGCAAGGTAAACTGTTTAAAATATGTTCTGTGAGCTGTGACACAGAGTAATTTTATCTTGGTCTTTAAGGGACTTCAGCAAAAGGAGTTAATAATTCATGGAACAATTAAAAAAAAAAAAAAATAAGACTTACTCAGAGGCAAACGCGCCTGCCTGAGGAGCACATGGTCCTGAGTTTGATCCCTGGTACTCCCAAAAATAAAAATAAAGATAAATAAAAATGTAAAATAAATAAAAATACTTCATAGAACCGTATCACTAAAGACCTTTTAAATAACCAAAGAATTTCATAAAACAAACATTGCTGGGGAAATAGCTCAGTGGAATAAGTGCTTGCCTGGCAAGTATAAGGTCCTGAGTTTGATCCCTGGTACCACCAAAAATAAATAAATAAATAAATAAATAAGTAAATGAAACAAAAGTCAAAAAATAAAAATAAACAAACAAAAAACAGAGTAGTATAAGGGAGAGGTAGTTGCAGTTGTAAAGAGGTGATCATGGAAGAACTTGGGAAGCAGGTTGAGCAAAGACTTGAAAGGGGTCAGTGGGAGCTGCGGCCCAGAGCCTACCTGACAGAAGGAGGTGTAAATGCGAAGTTTGTGAGGTGGGCTGGTGTGTTAAGGGTTAGAAAGCAGGCAGGACACAAGTGGTAGAGGAAGAGAGGAAAGAGCCTCGCAGGAGGAAACTGAAGAGCAAGCGGAAGCCAGATCATGCAAAGGCCAGAGCTTGATTTCTATGTACAGCCAACAAGGCTTCCAGGGACTTTGATGTGGAATGTGATGGAAAGAATCAAGGAAGCCTGAGGCCTCTGACCTGAGCAGCTGGAAGGATGGGGCTGCTGCCACCTGCGACAAGGAAGACTGCTCTCCTCAGAGAGCCTGTTGGGGGATGAAAAGCTCACTTTGGAAGATGGTAGATTAGCATCACTTATGCACGGTGAAACAGAGATGAAGAGTAGACAGTGGGATAGTTCAGTCTGGAATTCGGGGACAACATCTGGGCTCAAGACATGTGTTTGAAAGTGTGGTCAGAGAAGTGGTTCAAGAATGGTGTTTCCAGAATTAAGAAATTAGAGAGAAAAAAAAAGGAAGCCATGACAGAATCTGAAAAAAAGAAAACAGGAAATTGCCCCTAGAGCACATGGCATCCGGGAGCCTAGAGCATGAGGTGTGTCAGAGTACAAACTGACTGCTGAATGTTCCTACTCAGAGGTCCTGGGTGCCCTTAACAGGGCAGCACTTGGAAACTTCTAGGCACAAACCCTTATTGCTCTAACAAGAGTGACAACAGAGGAAGTGGAGACAGTATGCAGAGATCATTCTTTTTTTAAGGAGCTTTGCTAAAAAGAGGAGCAAATTAGTAATGTGATAGTCAGCCAGGGAAGTGAGATAAACAAGAAAGATTTTTATTTTTTTAAATTTTGTTTTTTCAAAATAGAAGAAATAAAGGCATGCTCACAGGAATGCCTGCAACCTTTGTGTTTGGCAGTCACAGACTGATTTCACTGAGATGAGCTCTTCCCCGGCCTGTTTTCTTGTTTGAGAATTGTCAGTAAGTACTGGCTAAGGTACAGGCTCTGCTGTGACAGCTGCTTGCTGAACTGTTGTCAGTCTTATTTTCAAAATTCTTTCTCAGCAAGCAACATGGACAGAGTAAGTAACCCATCTGATGTCCACATCTGTAAAGAAGTAAAGCTGAAAATTTGAATCTTTTGTCAGCAAATGGGAGCAACTAGAGAACATATCCTTAAGTGAAATAAATCAGACCCTCATGTGCAAATATCATATCATCTGGTTAGTGTGAGAAACTGAAAGAGAAAAATGGAATCTGAAGGGTACAATAGATGCTGGGAAAAGGGAACGAACTTAATCAAAAGAAAGAGTTACTGAGTTGCGGAGAAGGACAGGAGAGAGTAGGGGAAAGAGATTTATCTAGGTGTGTAAGCAGGATGGTTTGGGCAAATATACTGTGTGTTTCTGCTGGGCTATAAAAAGAAGCAGGTAATACTTAATTTGTTATGTCTCCTTTTTTCAGTTGTTTGTACATTTTCTCTTCTTAATTTCTTATATATTTCTTTTTCTCCTTGTTCTTCCAATTTTATATGTATATAATGGTAATATGTATAACTGGTTGGAAGACAATGCAATGCATTATAACAAATACTACGGAGTTCATATTATTTTGTTACATGAAATTGTGTATCACTTGTAATTTTTTCTATTTTAATTCTAATTTTTACTCTCTTTTTAAAAAAAGGGAAGAAGAAGAAGTAAAGCTAAGACTGCTAGTCTTTTTGGTGTACATTAGGGTCTTGCCCACAGTAAGAACAACTAGCAGAAGAAGCTATAAGAGGCAAATTAATAAAGTAAATGCAGCAGAGGAGGGGAAAAGACAAGGGAGGCCTGCTAGGCAGGGCAGGAATTGAAAGGGTTGCACATAATCTAATATAGAATGCTTGAAAAGTCAGACTTACCTATAATGAAAAAGGGGCCTTTGGCTGTTGCTCAGGGTTTTTCTCCTTGTGACATTTCCCTAAATTAGTCATCAGATCTTTCTGGTTACTTGGTCAATAGCATGTGGTCAATAGCAGCTTGGCATACTTATCAGAGCCTTTTCTCTAATTAAACTTTTCCCCAACTCTAACCCAATAGATGATGTCTCTTGAGTCTTACGAAGAGTAGTCATCTACACTTTAACCTCTCTTTAGAGCGCAGGGACCCTAACCCCACCCTCATCACTGGACTCAAAGCCTTCTGTAGCCATTTCTGGTGTAAGGGGTGGAACTGCAAGCTGTGAGGGGTGGGGAGGTTGGATGTGGAGCCTAAGCTGCAGGAGGTGGTGGGCAGGTGCGTGAGTGGCTGACCCCAGGTGTCCTGACATGGACACCTCCCAGTTTGGTGCACACAGTAGAAGTCACTGTCTGGGCCTCCTCCAGGCAAGGCCACAGAGGGGATGTCAGTAAAAGTGCTACAACTGGCCAAGTAGCCATATGTTTCTCTGTGCTCAGCCTGAATACACTTCAATCCAGTTTAACCTTGCCTCTATGCTCCTGACCCCTCAGGTCACCCTAACTGCCGAGACTGAATGTAGCTACATTTCTTGGCCCCGGAAAAGTCTCCACCATCTTCTAAACAAAGACCGATACACCTCCCGCCTCTTCGCAGTTCTGCTGGGCTATGACATCTCAGAGAAGCTCTACACACTCAATGAGAAGCTCTTTGCCAAGTTTGGGCTGTGCTTTGACGTCCGCCTCCCCAGCCTCTACCATGTCCTGGGTCCTTCTGCCTCAGATGGAGGGCCTGAGTCCGAGAAGGATGAGGAGGATGGCTTTGGACTAGCCACGTGCCCTGCCCCAGCGGTGCCCACCTCTGCCCAGCAACCCCTGCCCTGTTCTCCCCATCCAGCTGCTACCAGTCATCCTGCTCCTCTATCCCGGGCCCGGATACCCAGGCCTGACAGCGGTGTCCTGGGTGAGGACTCCAGCAGTTTGGTGCTAGAGGATTTTGAGGAGGTGTCAGGATCAGAGTCGTTTATGGATTATAGGAGTGATGGGGAGTACATGCGGTGAGGGCAGAACTAACGTGGGCACAGTCACCACTTGGAATCCAAGTAAGTACAGAGCATGGCTGTGCACCTCCCACCAGCCCCGGGCCTTGGCTCTGCTTTGTAAGCGCAAAAGCATTGTTTCATGGGGCATCGCCTCCTAGCAACTCACAGGATGTGGCATTAATCCAACCTGCAGGTAGTAACTCACTCCATGTGCATGCAAAGCATGAAGGGATTTTAAAAACTCATTCATTATTAACCATGATTGCATTTGGAACAATGGCTGGTGGGTATTTTGAGCAGGCAGGTAGATCTCTAAATTCTTTTGCAAGGTTGTACTAATAGCTAAGGCTACCGCTGGGACTAAAGGGGATTTTATTTGTGGCCTAAAGGAAAAAAAGGATGCTGGCATGGCTCATGTCCAATTGAGTGTCTTCCTGGCATCAAGAGTTGGCTCTGGAAAGCAGTTGTTAGCCCAAATGAGAGAGAAATCTATTAAAGTCACATTTTTTAAAAGGTTCATGGAGGTGTTGGTCACTCAGGCAGAGGAATGGAGGCTGCTCTGATTAAATGCCATTGTGACTGGACAGATACAGGGCAGCGGTGGGCTACGCACAAATTGGAGTGCCTGACAGCATGCACAGGATTTCCCCCACAGGAGTGTGTACAAGAAAGGCCACAGTTCTGGGAAACTGCTTTCATGTTTCCCCTAGCTGCCCTCCCAGTGCTGTGACATTTTCCTCTGGGACTCTACCCAGCCATGGCAGAGGCTTGACTTTTCCCAAGGAAAATCCCACCAACTTCCATTTGCAGGGCATTTCTAAGCGAAGGGGATACTAAGAAACACACCCATCTTTGGGCAGAACTGACAAATTTCTTGAGAAACCAGCCCAGGGTGGAAGGCCTCCAGGCTGCATGAAATGAATGAGCAAATGTATTCATAGTTTCAAAAGCAAGTTTAATGCTTCCTTAATAATGAAGCAACCAAGAGAGGTGAATGATAAGAGAGATATTCAGCCTTATAGCTAGGGAATTTGTCATCTCCTGTGGTACGAGGGTTCTAAGAATCACTGTTGAGCTAAATCTGGGATAATTCTAGGGACCCACCATGCCCTGTGATGACAGTGATGACATCCCCCATTTACACTGCCTGCCCTCAGGGCCTGTCCCCACCATCACCCTGGTTGCCAGACAGTTATGTCCAGTGGGTCCCTCTGTCCTGACTGTGGACCTACCTGCACCTTCCCTCATCAACACGAGGCTTTCTGCTTTGTCATGTCACCCTTCCCTGTCCTCTTCTTTTATTGGTTCTACTCATTTTCCTTCTCTCTGACTTCTGCCTTGCCCTGAGCTCCCTCTGTCTTCTGCTCTTAAGTGTCCCTTCTCTTCTTCACAGATCATTTCTCTCACTTCACTTGGACTTTGTCTCTTCCTTTTTTTAATTGTTCATATACTTAACATTCCTGTACCTTTTCCTTTTGCCCATTTTGTGGTCTTGCTATATCTATTCTTTCTCTCAAACCACCTCATACCACCTTTTTAATTTTTTAATCCCCAAGATCATTATCCTTTTCTCTACAAAGAGAAATACTCTAGTGAAGGAGTAAAAGTTCCCAACTTTAGGAATGTTTTCCAATCCTCAAGTGGCAGGAAACATGGTAGAGAAGAAGCACCCAAGGCTGTTAATTTGGAGTCTGGCTTCCCTTTGCTATTCTTGGTAGCAGGTCTGAATCTGCCATGAAGCAAATCTGTGACTTTCTGCAAACCATACAACCTCACTGGCTCTCAGTTTGTCCACTGAGTTGCAGGCCCAGCTGTCCCCAAGAGTCCTTTTGGATTGATGTGAGCAAAGGGTGAGCATTACAAAGGGGAGGAGGAGGAGCTTCTGTCCGTCCCCTGTCCCATGCAGGGGACACAAGCCCCAGGCATCTATGTCTTTCAGCAGGAATTTTCTGCTGCATTTCATTAGCATTTCTCTGGGCCTCAGGACTGACCGTCTGGGCTGGGGTGAGGGAGTCTGCTGGGCTAGAAGGTCCTGTACCTGTGAACACTGTATAACCTGCTGTGCGATTACCGACGTTGTGTGTGCAGAGGTCACAAGCCCTCAATCATTCATACTGTCCTAGAAAATGCCTCTTTCTAAATCCAGCCTTTTCTGAAAGTTGAGATGATAGAGCTCCTAATGTAACATTCTGTAAAGTACTGGCTTTTTGCCATAGTAGGTGTCTTATGTTTACCTAAACAACAAGAAAGAAAAATATACTACTTTTTAAACCATAGAATAGTTAGAAAATAGGATCAAATTGACCAAATTTCATAGATTTGGACTGTGATAATAGGATACTTTAATTCAAGATCTTGTGAAATTGTGTTATTTGCATGGTTGACTTGACTTATTTGTCATCAAGCTTCTTATAGGGTTATTACTGTCCTGAGTAAGCATCTTCCCTTATAAACTAATTGGTAGCAATTTATTTTTATTTCTTTGTGAAGGCAGGACACCATCATCATCTGTTTCCTAGATCCCTAATTACCAGAACTTTAAATTCATTGCTGTCTGTGTAGGCGGAGCACTTACGTAAGAGGCTCAAAGCTGGCTGGGCTCTGCAGGGTGAGGAGTGATGCGGCCTCATCCTGTGGACACCAGTGCTTGTCCCTCACACACTAATCCAATTTAAAAACAGCTAAAAATAAATAGAGCTTCCACTGGGGCACTTCTCGAAGACAGTACATTATTTTCTCCTCATCGCATCCTAAATTGAACTGAAAACAGGAACTGCCTCTCAACTGGTGCAGCAGTGCTGCAGGGCAATGTATCTACGCAGGCTTTCTCACAGACCCACGTTATCCTGACTTCACAGGGATTTTTCAACTTACTTCAGTGGGCCGCCTCTGCAGGGTTTCATTCTGTGTCTTGCTTCTAGGAAATACTTGGTGAACAAGGGGACCCAGGCCGAAATGCATCTCTGAGGCGGTCAGTTGAGCTACAGGATTCATTATCTCAGACTAAATTGGAATCTGCTCACTATTTGGCCAGTTTTCATTATTTGTTTTCCTATTGTCTGGATAAACTCTGTGGTTTGTGTAGTAAATTACATTCTCTGTTTATTATTTAAATAAGTGAATGATAAACCCATTACTGTATGGAGACAAATTGTGGCGCAGGGAAGGAGTGCCAGGCCAGCGCAACATAGCAAGGGCCAGAGAACCAATTCAGCATTTACATACAGTCTAGTATGCATTCCAGGAACTGTGCTCAGTAGCCATGTGAGAAACAGTTGAAGGAGTTGAAGATATTTAATCTGAAAGGAAAGGAAAAGTACAGCATCTTCAAACTTTTAAAAAATTGGAATAGAATTTGACTATTTGTGGGCAGACATTGAATTAAAGGCAAAGTGGGGAGAAGGATTTCAGCTCTGTGTTAATGTAACATTTTGGGAATAATAAGTTACTTATCACTGGGAGAGGTGACACAGGGACCAGAAGAAATCTTTTGAGATTTTAAGTGGTTCAGGCCATGGGAAAAGGATGCCATAGATCGGTGGTGGTGAACCTATGGCTTGTGTGTTGTTTTACTTTTAAGACAAAAGATGTTAATGTGTGAGTTGGTTTTTCTAAACTAAAACCTCAGTATTCAGGTTTCATAGCAGCATGGGCACCTGGCATAAATAAATGTGTTTGGGGCTGCAGTTTGGACGCTCATCTCTCAGGTTCTAAAGGTTCGGCGTCACCGCCTTAGAGCATTGCTATGACGGTTGCTTCCAACTCCACCATGTTACGCTTCTGCAGTTCTACCATCTGGTGGCTCTAGCCCTGCCCCTATCCACCATCAGGAGTAGGGTCCTCGTCTGTAGTCTGGGCCTGTTAACTTCTGTCCACCTCCCTGTGTTGCTGGGAGGGTAACTGAGATAAAGTATAGAAGGGCAGTCTGTAAGGCATAAGCACTAGTCAAGTGTGAAGTGAAGACTAACACTGAAGTGTATAGTTGTTCAGGAGTCCCCCTTGCCCTGTTTTGGTTTCTGTCAGAGATACAAGATTCTCCTCATTTCTCCCACTTGGATTTCCAAGGCAGGTGGCATCTGGTAGAATCCTGACAGAAGAATCCACCAAGAGGTGGAGGCCGGAAGAGAACCTGTCTCAGCTTCCTGGCTGCAGCCTGTTCTGGGTTGCTTCAGGAAGAGACAGTTCTCAGGCGCCCCATTTCTGTATTCTTTCCCTCTGAAGGAAACGCAAACTGCCTTGCTGGCTGGTGCTGTGGTAAACAGCCCTTCTCTTGTGGAACCTCTAGAAAGACTCCCGGGTATCCCTAGGAACCCTAATGATGCCACCTTTGCCTGCCAGTGGCCTGCATCAGCCAGATGACCAACAGCTGCTGCTCCTGCAGCCTGGGGTGCCCCACAACCCCACAGCTCCAAGGTTCCTCCCCTACTTTTATTATACAGGCCTCATTTTCCTAAAAATAGAAGACAGCAGTCTTATAAACCTTACCATATTTCAATATAGATTCTTCTCTTCCTCCTGCCCCTCTTTCTCTTCCCTTCCCCTTCTCCTCCCCCTTCCCCTCCTCCTTATCCTCCTTCTTTTGGTTCTTCGAGACAAGATCTTGTTACTTATTCCAGGGACTGGCCTCAGACTTGTGATGCTCCTGCCTCAGTCCAGAGTGCTGGGATTACAGCATATGTCACCATGCCTTGCTTTGTTTTTTCTTAAACTCAGCCAGTTCTATAGGTTGCTCATGGGAAGCAGCAAAAGCAGATGTCTTAGTCTCCTTATCTATAAAGTGAAGGGATTGGACTAGGTAACCTCTACATTGACTCTTTCCAATACTGTGGAATGGGAGGATTCAGAAGTATCACCGGCCCTGCTGTAGGCCTTCGCCATGGTTATCACTGGGAATTAGTAGGGAGGAGAAACACAAAAGGACCCACGAAGGTGGGCGGGCTGTCCACAGCCACACTGCTGAAATCCTTTCTCTATTTCTTTCCACAGCTTCTAGAGCTCCAGTCCAGAACTCCTCTCAAACTATGGCCAGAGTCCAGGCCCCTTTGGCTCCAGTCCACACTCCTGAACTCTAAGGGCCCCTAGGAGGTCCTTTTCTGTGTGGCCAGGACAGCTCCCACACATGTGCACAAGACGGTCACTCGTGTGCCACCTCCTCACCACTGCATAACTCAGGCAAGGCAGGCATGGGCACAGGGCACCCAGGCTGCTGCTGCTGAGGGATGGGGCAGACCTCACCCTTGGGAGAGCCTTCCAGAGAAGCCCTTCTGGGGCAAGGCCCGGATGTGTCCTTGCCCAGTGAGAACTGCAGGAGCTTGCCCAGCCTCTGGGAGCCTCATCCTCTCCATCAGTGGGTTAGAAAATCCACCTCACAGGCCTCTGGCAAGGATCAAATGAGTTGATTTTAGACGAAGCACCTAGGCGTGGCGTGGCACCTGTGAAGCACTCAATAAATCACTCTCCTCCTTTGCCTGTGTTGTTTCTTTGAATTGTACACAGGTTTTCCCTGGTGGTTAAGTTTTCCTAGTGAGAATTAATTTATAGAACATCTCATTTTCCTTCAGACTTCTATGTTCAACTTAAAAATCTTTCATTGTCCTTATGAACCTAGTATTAGAAAATACTTTTTAGAAGGATTTTTACAAACTCAATTAGGTTTCCTTAAACATTTAAAAGTAGATTTATAAATTTAATATGTTCTCTTTTTCCCAAAACGCACCACCAGCCTGTATTCTGCTTCCCTATTGCCGTGCAGTGCTTATCCCCATAGTCATGATGTAAAATAGCCACAATGGTTCCTCTTGCCATGAGTGAGAGCCTCACCCGGGCTAGCGTGGTGGTCCTTGATTAGGGCTTTTTGTATTGTTGCTCAGCCAGCTCTGACTGGCACTGGAGGCACCTCAATGCCTCTCCACTCACCTGTTGGGACCTTCACTGGCACAACTCACATGGCTGAGGGGTGGAACTGCCGGGGAAACTTCCTCCCCCTCCCACCTCATTCCTATCTCAATAGCTGGTTCATTTTCTGTGGCTGTGTAGTACTCCATTTTATGACATACCACCGCACTTCTTTTATCCGCCCTACTATTGATGGACATTTGGGTGATTTCTAGCTTGAGGCAATTACAAATAATACTGCTGCAACATCTTTGTGTGTATGCGTGAACACATATGTATATAGTTCTTGTGTGTATGCGCAGATGTGGAATTTCTCAGATCCTGGAGATACATTCAATTGTTGGAAATACAGCCAAACAGTTTTCCTAAAATTTTATACTAAGTTCCATTCTTGTGAACAATGGTAATGAGAAAGACCTCTTGCTGCTTTCATCCTCTCCAATGGTTGTCATTGTCATTTGTTTTTCCATTTTAGCCATTTGGGCACAGCTAGCAGAGTATCATTGCAGTTTTCATTTTCACTTCCCTGAAATAAATAACAAGATTGTGCATCTGTCCTGTTTTTCTTTTGTTTTTTTGTCCTATGGATACCTTCTATTGAAAAGTATCTATGTGAGTTTCTTTACCTCTATCTGTCTATATGGAGAATTCCATATGTCCCATGTGAATTCCAGTGACTGAGCAGTATGTATTAGGGTGATTACTCCTACTAGTGTTCAGCATCCCCTTTGTCAGGAATCAGATGGCCTTATTTCTGGAGATCTGTTTCTGGATCTTCCACTGCTCTTTTTTTCTGGCCCTTGACAGTACCAATTCATAATTAGTGCAGCTTTTTAATGGGTTTTGGCATCTTTACACATTTTTTCCTTTTCAAGTCCTGGTTATTAGTGTTTTCCTTTGTATTTCCATATTAATTTTAGAATCAACTTGTCAATTTTGACCAATAAAATAAGCCTGCTAGGACTTTTTTTTTTCCTATGTTGGGATTGACTCCAGGGCATTTGCACTGACTTACATCCCTTACTTCTTTTCAAGTTCTTTATTTTGGTACAGTGCCTCACTAAATCATTAGGTTGCCCTGGAATAGGCTTTAGTTTGTGATCCTCCTGCTTCAGCCTCCCAGAGTGCTGGGATTACAGGTGTACACCACCATGCCCAGCTCTATTAGAATTTTATTTGCACTATAGATCAAATTGGTAAAGAATTGATATTTTTAATACTGATTTTTTTATGAACATAAGTTTAATACTTCATTTGTTTTGGTCCTCTTTATTTTGTCTCAACATTGCATGCAACGTTTTTAAAAATACTTAATTCTAGGTGCTTCATAAATTTGACATGATTATAAATGCTATCATTTTTTTTACTAAATTTTTATTGCTAGGTATAATGCAATTATTTTTGGACCTTCAACTGCCATTCAATAATCTTGATAAATTAATTTATTTTAATGCTAATCATAAACTCATACTTCTTTTTTTTCAATCTATATCTTTTTCTCCTCTGGTTCCCTGTTTCACTGGGTAACACCAGCAATATGGGAATGAATAGAAACAGTGGTAAAAGATATCTTTCTCTTATGCCTGACCTCTAGGGAAACACTTTCAATATTTCATCATTTCTATGATATGTGATATCAGGTTTTTAGACTGATTTTACCAAATTAAAGAAATTTTATTCCTAATTTGTTAATTTAAAAATCATGAATGAATATTTCATTTAATTGAATTATTTTCTGCACTCATCAAAATTATTTTTTCTCCTTTATTCTGTAAATGTCATGAATTATACAAGTAGATGGGCAGATGTTAAAAGGACTCTCATATGCCTAGAACAAAGCCAAGTTTTACCTGGAATGAATCCAGCTGGATGATCTAATTTCTTCTTACATGTTATTGGCCTTTGTTTGAAAATATTTTGTTTAGGGTTTTTGTATCTATGTGTCTTGTAATAACATAATTGTCATCTTGAGTATCAAGGTTATTCTGGTTTTGTAAAATAAGTTGCTAAGTCTCTCTCTCTCTCTCTCTCTCTCTCTCTCTCTCTCTCTCTCTCTCTCCCTCTCTCCCCTCCTTCCTCCTCCTCTTCTCTCACCCACTTTTTCTTTTAATTTTTCAAGCCCACTGCACTTGCCTACCCTCTGCTCACCACATCTTATTCTTCCTCCAGGTATTCATGCCCAGAACTCTGGAGTCTTCACCAGTCCTGACAGTTCTGTCTTCAAGACACATCCTGAGCCCAGGGCACACCATTCCCTGCCACTAGTGAGTTCAAGCCAGCATACTTCATATCTGGATCATCTGTGACAGACCCATGATGAGTCACCTGCTTTGTCCTGTTCCTTATCCCAGAAATCAATTCTACAGCAAAGCGCACATTTAAACGTAGGACTCTGAATCTTTTTTACCACAAGGAAAATAAATAAATGGACATTTATGTCACGGTTTGGGGTTTATGAAAGGGAAACAATACAATACAGGACACATTTTATAAGATTATTATATAATGAATCACCCAAAGAATCACATACAAGGAGTGCAGGAAACTTGTCCACACACTAAAGAACAAGGAATCCAGGCTGAGGGCCTGGATCCTAACATCATACGTGAGTTTAGCTGAGACCCTAGAGCTCATAACAATGGCTCCCACAAGCCCAACTGGAGGCCTAGAGCCTTTGACAAAGTCTCATGCAGGTCTGCTTTACAGACTTGTCCTGGAAGGGCCCAGAAGGTCAATGGTGGAAGCTAGGAAGTCTGTACCAGTGGGATGGAGGATCTGTGCTGTCAGACTGAGGGCTCTGAACTGGATCTAGGAAGCAACGCTCAAGGTAAGCACCAGAGCTCTCCTCAAAAGTACTATAGCCATCCTCGCAACAGTGAGGACTCAGGCTCCTTCAATGATGAGGAAAGCTGAGTTCCCATTAGGAAAGCCAACATGACAAGCTTCTGCAGGAGGCTGAGCAGTGCACTATATTCCTCTCTGGAGCCAGGAAGCAATGCTCAAGATGAGGACCAGAGCTCCCCCAAAATGAACCACAGCCATTCTCAATGACAACCAAGTCCCAAGTTCCTCTTCCAGTGAAAACAACCAAGTTCTCCAGGAAAGCCAGCATGAAAATGTCTTCCAACACAATAACCCAAGAAAACCAGTAGCTTCCAACTGCTACCAACAGCTTCTCCAAAAATCTTCCCCAACAGTGCCCCCCAACAGCCTCTTATGCTGCTGGCAGCAACCCTCAGGAGGGTTCCCACTCTCAGCATCATGCTAGTTCAATTCAGCTGGGTTTAACAAGCTGACCACCAGTTGGCAGTCCACTACAACCTATAACAGCTCATCACTCAGGCTGAAAATTTCAAGTGATTTCCTATCAGACTTAGAATAAAATTGGAACTTCTTGCCATGCAGTATGAGTCAGGGTTGGCTTACTTAATAACACCAGGGTTTATTTCTCTTTTATCCAAGACCACCAAGAGTCTGTGTGATTCATATTCGCAGCTGTGTTTCAAGCTTTGACTCAGTGACTGAGCCAAGCTGAACCTCGGATGCTGCCATGGGAAAGAAGCAGCAGCCCAAATTCCGGGGCCAGCTCTCTTCTTGTTCAGCCCGGAAGTGGTCAAAGTCACTTCTGCCCACAGTCATTAACCAGAACTAGTCACATGGGTGCACGTAATCAGCCACAGCTCCTGATGAAAGAGTGAAAAATGTGGGGACGTGGATGGCACAGATGACTGCCGCCACTCATCCAGTCCTGGGAGCACAAGGCCCTGCCTGCTGTCCCTCCAGCCACACCTTGTGCCACTTTCACTCTTGCTCACCATGTTCCAGCCACTCTTGGCTTGTTGCTGTTCTTGAGGAATGACCATCTCTTTTATAAATGGACATTTATGTCACAGTTTGGGGCTTATGCAAGGGAAACAATGCAATATAGGACACATTTTATAAGATTATTTTATAATGAATCACCCAAAGAATCACATATAAGGAGTGCAGGAAACTTGTCCACACACTAAAGACCAAAGAATCCAGCTGAAGGCCTGGATCCTAATACCGTGCGTGAGTCTAGCTGCAAACCTAGAGCTCATAACAATGGCTCCTACAAGTCCAACTGGAGGCCTAGAGCCCATGATAAAGTCTCATTTCAGCAATGATGGAACTGGGTTGTTTTTCTAAAGATGGTTTTTACTCATGCTTCCTTTGGCTGGCCTCTTTTTATCCAATTCTTAGCTCACGCATCACAAGCCCAGCCAAGAGACCCATCTCATCAAATCATCACCGTGTCCTCTTGCCCTAATAGAGGTTCCAAGCCCAATTTCCTCCTTTCATCTTTTTATGGGACAAGGATCCCAATTTTGCACTTGGTAGAACTTAGGAGTTCCATATGACTCTTAGACGATTTTCTCTTTTCTTGTGAAATCATATCATGTACGTATCCTATCCTTTCCATGCACATTTCATGGTAGAAGGTCCCTGTCAGTCTTGAATGATTCAACTACTCTCCTGTAAACCCTTGAGCACTGTTGTACAGAGTAAATGAAGAAATAACAAACCACAAGAGAACACTATCCATTGT